AATGTTTCAATAGCCTAATACAAACTGTAATTTACATCTTAAACAAACAGGAGATACTAGGGAAGTTAGGGTGTAATTAATTGGAATAATTTTCGTATTTTGATGACGTTGACAGGTATCTTTGGTGCTAAACTGCCTGTTGCATGCATACGGTACGTATTTAACATGCAGTTTCGCATGTTTTTTTTTTCCTATAATATTTCATCATCAAAAAAAGGGATTTTTAACAACAAAAGGCTTCATATTACGCATAAGAATATTCTGAGCAAGTTAAATGTAAGTAGTCTGCAGTATGTGTTTAAAAAAAAAAGTATATTTCCACTTTATGAATTGTGTCTGGACATGTTAAGTGGGTGCTGATGTCCTAACAGACCCACTCAGGCGGAAATTGACATCTTTAGCAAACAGAAGTGATTAGGGAAGTAAAAACAAAATTAAGTTTCACTACTTTAGCATTTTGCTTAAATTGCCAGGGATTTACGTATTTATTGGACAAACTAATTAGAGGTTTTTAATGGTGTAATGGACCAATTCAAGCGAAAATTTAAAATTTCAGCAAGAGTGGCATACTTGGAAACTAAAAACGTCATTAATTGTCATAATTTTCGCATTTTGCTGACACTGTCAGGTAAATAAGTTTGTGCCAAAATGCCTGTTGCATGCATGCGGTACGTATTTAACAGGCAGTTTCGCATGATTTGTATTTTTCCACAAAACTGTAAATCTAAAAAAAGCGGTTTTCTCTACTTTTACGTTTTCTCTACCTTCCGTGACACCTACAGTACGAAGGTGTCCCGTTTCTGTCTGTCTGGCCGTCTGTCTGTACATCTGTCTGCGGTCCCGGATTTTTATGAATTATGATACAGATAATCTACGAGCCACCGATTGTTGTCAAATTTTGTATTTATATTAGGAATATCTTGTAGGTAATATTAATTCCCGCTTGAATTGGGCTATTGGAACATCGAAAACCATTAGCACACCCAGATACAATCTATCCCATAGAAATTCCTAGTTTTTTAAGCAAATACAGTATAATCAGCGTGCTTAGAATATTCTTATGAGTAACATAGAGTGTTTTGTTCTTAAAAATCACTTCCTTTTTGATTTAAAATTTTGGGGGAAAATAAATGTCATGCGAAACTCCCTGTTAAATGCGTACCGAACGCATACAACAGGTAGTTTGGCACACACTTTAGTCCCGGTCACTGTTAGCAAAATGCGAAATAAAGACAACAAATAATGCCTTTACTTCCCTAGTATTTTCTATTTGTTAAAGGTTTCAATTTCCGCTTGACTTGGGCTATTGGAACATCTAAAACCACTTTGAATTTCCAGATACAAACAATTGTGTCGAAATGTTTTATTTTTTAAAAAAGTAATTCTAGGGGTGACGTACTTAGAATATTCTTATACGTAACACAAATCCTTTTGTTTTTTGGATTTACAATTTTGTTGAAACTTACCGCAAACTTTATTAATTATAACATTTTAAATATAAATGCCAAAGTGCCTTTTAAATATAATTAAATTTTGTTTGGCCATCTATCGTCGAGGGGCTGAACTATGCCGTATTTTCCTTATGTGCGAAACTGACTAATTTATGCGTTTGATCTACTACAGTGTTGCCATAGTGTGCCGACCGTGCCAAAGTTCCGGGGTTATATACATATATACCTGTATGTACCACTTCGTAAGAATGTGCAAAGTTCACAACAAACTTCGCAGAAGTGGTGGTGTAAGAATTTTCATATTAATGAGTATCCACAAACATACCATAAACAGTTGTGTTCTTTCAAGGTGAGTTTCCGGTAACTCACATCACTTAATGATTGTTGAAGAGGCTGGAATACAGGGGAGATGTGTTGTGGAAGTTTGTTTAAAAGAACACCTTAGCAAATTTTTCATTTCAAATAAAATAGTGTTTCACAGTTGGTTCTTGCACTCGTATCGAAATAATCTGTAGTAAATAGTTTCCGAAACACACTTTGGAATTATATTGGTGTGGGATTTATACAATTCCCAAATTGACGTCTCACAGAGCCAAACAAATACATATGTCAAACAATACTGATTTAGTTGCAGCAACCTTTTAGTGAAAATTGTAAATAAATTGTATTCTGTGAAAACTATTAAAAATAATAAGCAAAATATTTATGTTCCTGAGGTTGTTTTTTATTTTTTTGTGAGTGATTTAAAAATATTAAGAGTGAAATAAAAATTTTGCAATTCACTTGTGGATAACAACTTATTTGTCAGACTTGTTAAGGATTTAATAAACGCAGTTTAAAACGTCAAAATTGAATAAAAATGTTTTGCTTGAATATATTAATAATTTATAAGAAAGAAAAAAGTGGCCAATGTCACTAGTACATGCCACCCATTTTTATTTTTGTGTACCCGTTCCGCAAATATTGCTGAAGTTTCGTTACTGATCTACTGTGGTGATAACAGAGTGTCTCCTGGCGATGTACTAATTTTAATCGTAATAACACAAATAAAATAAATTATTTATTAAAAATAGAACAAACTGTCAACAACCTCTAAAACTTGCAAGACCTTTATAAAGTGTCACACACTTACAATATTTAGAAAACCACACGTACAAGATAGAAACGTCAACTTTTATAACGACGCCATGTTGGTATTCTGAAAAGTGTCATAAAAAAACGTGTTAGTCATACCACGTAACTTACCATTGGGTCTCATTTCGTACACGACCAAATCACCCTTTTCGAAGTCCGTTATTGCTTGATATAACCCGTGTAAAAAGTACCTCACGATGTGCTTATTTTCCTCAGGTACGTCGTCCCAAGCCCTCGGACTTTGATAACACAGAAGCCACACTTCATCCGGCTTCACGTAAGCCCAGTCGCCGTCGTCGAAAACCACCAAATATCTACAACCAATCGCGACATTACACGCGCCGAGTCGTTACTTTGACAGACCTTTGTAGGTTCTGGTTGGTTGGAAATTCCATAACCACGCCCTTTTCGTGCTTGCGTCGTCCTCGTGACAGTTCGCCGGTGGTCGATAGTTGTTTTTTCAAAGCCACGACACGGCTGCCAACCTCTAGGACTCGGGTGGGCGGTTCAGGGTAGGCTATGTTTTTTTTGGTGGTTATTATGTCGTTGAAGGTTTGGTTGTCGGCGAGGTGGACGACGTCTTCGCCGACGTGGATAAGTTTGGCTTTTACCCACTTTTTGTTGTTTTTGTTGGGGGTGAGGTAGGTTTCCATGAGTTCGAATTTGGGGGGTTTGGGGTCCAGGGTGCTGCCGAACGGGAACATGGATTCGACAGCAGACTCGGTTTTTAGGGAGTTGAGGGCTAGGGGTAAGGGTTTGGGCATGGGTCGTAGGGGAGCAATGTGTTCCACTTGGAGGTCTAAGCAAGTAGTTCAAGTTGAACAAATACAAATTAGTAAATGGTAGTGCCGTTTTCACGCTTGAAAAACCCGTGTGTAACTGTAAAATATTTCTGCGCATGTGCTACTTACCCGGGCACTGAATTAGTTTTTTCAGCAGGTCTAGCGTCTCCCGGTGGTCACGCCTGTGGTATTCTATTGTCTTAGGTGGAGACCAATGCCACTTTTTGGTGGTTTCGTTGAAGCTCAAATTTCTTTCTTCAGGGTCCATTATCTGATTCTTAGTAACAGCAACAAAAAAAATTGACGGAAGAAATGTGACTTTCGGAACATTGACAAACAAGGTGTGTTGATTTTTTGTTTTTATAATGGTGTCGTTGCTTTGGTAACGGGTGCCATTGTAACTATGATTATTTTTCAATCAAGGATTAACTTGAAAAGTAACTAAATTCCAGGTTATGTTTGTTTTTTGTGCATTAAGTTTTCGAAACTTAAGGTGTTGCGTTTATTGAATGTCTATACTGCTAGGAAACAATCAGTTGAAGGAAAAAATAACAAATTGGAAAATTTATTTCTGATTTATACAGGGTCATTATAAAATACTGTAGTCAACTCACCTATGAAAAACGTTTAAGGGCTTTGTCATGAATTACACCTTGGAAAGTCGATTGGAGTTGAACAGAATAAATCATCTGGTCTGTTTTGCAAAGAAGCAATAATTTTTCAAATAATGAAATCCAAAAAGTGAGGTTAAGTTTGTCGAAACCAATGAACACGGTAATTATTTAAAAAATTACATTTTTATAGGTACCCTGAAGGTAAAAATTGTGAAAAATCACGTAATGGACAATGGCAGAGCAAGTCTTATCACAGTTAACGAACACTATGAGTACCTAATGAGTTTTTGCAGTAAATAATTTTGCCAAAGTTGTGATCCCGCGAAAGTTCTGTTTGTAAATTGTAAGGAATCGTCAAAATATTGGTGCAGACATGGTTTGTAACCGGTGCTTTTCTCTTGAAAAAACACAACTGATAAGGTGACCAGAATTTCAAAATTGCTGAGGAGGACGCGTAATAATAATAATAATAAAATACACATGGATTTTTTTTAACTTTTTAATACTAATTTACATGGGTTAATAAGGTAAACTATAGAAATTACTATGTATACTTATCACTAGAATGTTTTTTTTTTTAAAGTACTTCATTTTCTGATAACATTTTAGAAAACTCCTGACATGTCATATTAATGTTACATTTTACAACAGTCATTGCCGAAAGAGTCTCTACTGTTAAGCGCGATTTTTCGGTAGTCCAAACGTCATTAACAATGGAGAAGACTCTTTCGACCGACTCGTTTGTGCCTGGCAAACAAAGAAATAATTCAACTAATATTTTTAAATTTTCACACGGAATATACTGATTTTTAAAATGGTTGAATACAACAAGCCATCTTTTATCACAGTCCATTATTTGTTCGTTCCACTCTTCAAATTTTGTGTTGCAATAAATTTGTAATCTCCGTATTGCGTCGAATAAACGATTGTCGTCAATAACACAATTACATTTTTCCAATGCAAATTGTATCGTCGTCTGAACTTCTTCCCACGTAAAATTTGATCTCAGTAAAGTCCAATTCATAACATCAAGATCTTCTGTATGTTTTGTCCATTCACTGAGGTTTGCACTCGGAATACGAACACAACTACAGTAAATTTTCTAGATTTAAATTAATTTACCATAGAACTAACGTAAACCGTAAAAAAGTAAAGCAACTTAATTGATCAATCAAAAAGGAGGATATTTTTTATTTGAGGAGGACACGAGGAGGACATTTACGCTAGGAGGACAGCATACATGAAAGGAGGACTGTCCTCCTCAAAGGAGTACGTCTGGTCACCTTACAACTGAAAGCCTTGATCTTCATCCCTACAATAGGTGAAAACTGCTATGTCCAAACATTACCTTCAGCTTTGCAGTTTCTAGATATCTGAAACATGCCAGATCTGCATAACAGGAATGTCAAAGAGGTTCTACCCAAAACACGCCCACATGGCCATCCTAATATCAAGATTTTTCAAAATTTCTATAACAAAAAAGATGAAAAAACCAATAAAATTTCAGGAGCATAGTGTTAAGAGTTCTGTAGATGATTATGAGATCTCTTGAAACAACAGAATGTTTAATAAAGATTTTTAACTTTCCTAATAGTAAAATTACAATTATTACTAAACAGTAAGTTGAAGTAAGTTTTAAATTAAGAAAATGCAACTAACACCGAAAGAAAAATGAAAGTTACTGAAAATAAAAAACTTTATTGCAGTACCTACATACACTTTCTACATCTAATTTTGTTTATTGATCACATTCATTTACTTGAAAAAGTATCAGGCCTATGAATCGTCGTCTGGAAACAGCTAACCACACACCAACCTTCATTGCGTGTGATGGTGTTTCTTCAAAAGCGTGAGTATTTTCTATACACCAAATTCTGAAGTTCTGTCAGTTGACATAATAGCCTAACAGATGAAACCAGGCTTCATCAGAAAAGAACGACAAATCGAGAATCCCGTTATCGTCCATATCAGCTTGAAACCAACTACAATACCCAACGCGGCAAGGAAAATCAGCTGGTTGCAGCTCCTGAACCAACAAAATCTTGTATGGATGCATATGTAACTTCTCTTTTACGATTTTCTGACATGGGCTGTATGGTACTCCGGACAGTAAAGATTTTTGACAAAGCTTTATTCGGACTTTGTTCCATTCTCATCCTTAAATCTTCAACAACGTCTTCACTAACTTGAGGTCTCCCCGTCGGTTTTCACTTAGAAATGCTACCAGTGTCGTTAAATCTGGCCATAATTCGCCATATAGCGTCTTCAAAGATTCTTCATCAATGACAACAGAACATTTCACTAGATACTCGTTTTTAGACGCCTCCACAGAGTACACTCCATCCCCATCCTCATTTAACACCCCATTACGGTAATAGGCATGATGATTGCGCCAAAGAACTAAAAAAATCATTTGTAACACTAACCATAGTTATTCCTCTCTGTTCATTACCTGAGATTATTCCACAATGATCTGTAGTTTTGATAAAAACTGTTTTTTGAGACACTTATTAAAGTTCTAACAATGGGGAAGACAGCAAAAATGAAAACAAGACAAGTCAATTAACGCACAAAGTGAGGGAAAACGTACCAGTACAAACAAAAAATTATTGACATCTGACAGAATTAATAATGTCTGTGCTAATCAGCGTTGCCACGCCGTTTTACTTACTATCGGTAGATTTCTTGGATAATTTTCGGTAAATTTCGGCATTTTTTCGGTAGATCGGTTTTTTGTGATAGAAAAGGTATTACACATAAATAATAGGTACGTTTTTTTTTTATCATATATGAAGAAGGTAGAAATATTTTGTTATTAAAAAGAAACAAATAAAAAACAAATATTAACATAGATCATTTAAAAAAATATATCTATGAGTAAGCATGCTAAAGGTAGTAGGAACATTTTGTTAAAAATAAAAACACAATGAAACTATAATATTCCCCTTAATTATTGCCTCAGGTGCTGAACTGTTTCGGGGATATACTGAATTTTGTCTAACTAATTAAAAAAAATCCCCTTTTAATTATAACGCGCTTAAAAAGAATAGATATTTGGCGCTATCTGTAAAAATGTATAGTGGTTACGCTGGTGCGTAATAGAGGGAACTAAACAAATCCGCAGAACTAAATCTATACTGAAAAAAATATTAAGAAATAAAATTATATAAAAAAAATTATTGAAAATTTATAAATACATTAAAAATAAATTCTTGAATTATCGTAGACTTTTCGGTAGATTTTGTGTTTCAATCGGTAGATCGGTAGACAGAGCCCAAAATCGGTAGATCTACCGAAAATTCGGTAGAAGTGGCAACACTGGTGCTAATGTCAACTAATGTGGCGCTAAAAATAAAAATTCCAATATTAGTGTAATCCTTTCCACAAAACTGAAAAAGGCGGCACAAAATGTCACCAAAATCATGGCCTTCTTCGACTACAATATTTTATAATGACCCTGTATAAGGGTTAATATTGTTGTTGGCTTAATTTCTACACTTTCTGCTCGCATTAGTTTACCATGCGGTTCTTTGGAAGAAGACATGTTATCATATCTATAATACATTATCACAGCGTTGTCTAAATATCCGTAGGAGTTGTTGTTGAAGTTACCTTAAAGTTGGCAAGCCTGTAATACAATTCGTAAAGGTAGCTAAAAATTTGCTTTAGGCAACCAATAATACAGTTTGGGTTATATCCCTACGAGAGCAGAGAATGAGGGTATATTGTGTACATATCATTGATCTAATAAAGGAGTGGATGGAGCCTTGTATACGTTTCCATACGCGAGCGAGTGTAATCAACACAAGAAAGAAATAGCAAGAGTTGTTATGGCATCAGTGGGAAAAGGACGGCTGACCACTAGCACGTGCTGGGTGGCAAAAAACGCTTCATTTGAACGGGAATTAATACGTTTTCTTACGAATTTGTTCAAACAATCAATTATAACAAACGTTTGTTAATGAAAACTATATTTTTACAGTTTACATTAAAATTATGTGAAATATTAAACAACAAAAATCATGTTAAGTGGTGGAGATAGTCTTTTAATAAAATAAAATGTATACACAATCTACAATATATTACGAATTCAGTTAATACAATAATCTTCTACAAGTTAACTAATTTTGTAGTGTATGTTCATTGGTAAATCTGAAATTTTTAGGATAAAATTAATTAAACTTTCGATAAAAGTGACAGGGTGCCTAATTAAATTGAACATATTAAAGAGGGTGGAATTTTCTAGCAAAATCTATTTTCTAAATCCACGTACAAATAACTAAAACAATAATCAATAGATATAAAATTCCCTCTTTTTGTAGCAACAATCCATTTTTTTCGTAATTCGGAATGTTTAGGAAATCTAACAAAATTTTTAAATTATAATTACGAAATCCTTCGTCTCTATATGTGATTATTGCCTATGAAATGAAACAGGATTGCTTTCTTTGCACGTTCTTTGCAATTATACGCACAACACGATTTCACGATGTTTAACAAATAGTTCGATAAAATACAACTTAAGAAGACTGTAGTCATTTAAATACGGTAACTTGAGCCTAAAAAGCGTAAATTTGCAAAAATACACCTTTAAACACCATGCGACAGCACGAAAGAAACCGCCAGAAACACAGTGCTCTGCAGCTTCGCGTCAATGTTTTGCCACCCAGAGAGCCCTATCTCTGTCCCACTGTGTTGGCAACGCGCGTCTCTCTCTAAGTTACTTCCATATAATATTATTTCTATGGTACATATCATCAAAAATGACAGATGTCAGAAATTATTGACTTATAAACGTTAAATTTGCTAGTAATGCAAGTGTGAAATGAGAAATACGGAATGCGTAGCAAAATGGGCAATGAGAAATGTAAAATGAGTAATGAGAAATGATCAATGCGAAATAAGAAATGATTTATGAGAAACGAGAAATGCGAAAAGTGAAATGTGGAATGCGAAGCGAAATAGGAAATAAAAAATGCGTAATGAGAAATTCGAACTGCGAAATGGGAAATGCGGAATGCAAAATGAGAAATGAGAAATCGAGAATGTGAAAGGTAAAGCAAAATGTGAAATGAGGGATTCGAAAAAGAAATCCGAAATCCGAAATGTAAAATGAGAAATGCGAAGTGCCAGCTGCGAAACTGGAAATGGGAAATGTAGAATGTGAAGCGAAATGGGAAATGCTAAATGAGAAATTCAGATGTGAAATAAGAAATGAGAAGAAAGAGGAAATGATAAATGAAAAATGTGAGAAATGTTTGGATTGAGAAATATGGATTATGAAATGAGAAATATAAAATAGGAAATTGTAATGCAAAATGTGAGAATTATGAAATAAGAAATGATGAATGAGGAATGTGGAATGAGAAATATGAGTCATGAAACGAGAAAAGTGAGGAATCAGAAGAAATAAAAAATATGGGAAACAACAAATCTGAGAAATGAGAGAGATGAAATGAGAAGTAACACGAAGTGAGAAATGCGATATGTGAAATGAGAAATGAAAAATATGGACAATGAGAAATGGGAAATGATAAATGAGAAATATGAGAAATTAGGATGGTGAGAAATGTGAGAAACGATGAATGTGAGAAATGAGAAAGGTGAAATGAGAAGAAATGAAAAATGACACGAAATGAGGAATGAGATATGTGAAATGGGAACTGAAGAATGAGAAGAAATGAAAAATGAGACACGACACGAAGTGAGAAATGTGAACTATGAAATGAGAAATGAGAACTGCGAAATGAATAATAAACGAGAAATAAGAAATATGAGAAAGATGAAATGAGAAGAAATGAAAAATGAGAAATATGAATTATGAAATGAGAAATAACACGAAGTGAGAAATAAGAACTGAGAAATGAATAATAAACGAAAAATGAGAAATACGAGATGTTAGGATGATGAGAAATGCTAGAAACGATAAATGTGAGAAATGAGAACTGAGAAATGAATAATAAATGAAAAATGAGAAATATGAATTATGAAATAAGAAATGACACGAAGTGAGAAATAAGAAATGTGAAATATGAAATATAAAATGAGAAATAAGAACTGAGAAATGAATAATAAACGAAATATGAGAAATACGAGATATTAGGATGATGAGAAATGTTAGAAACGACAAATGTGAGAAATGAGGACTGAGAAATGAATAATAAATGAAAAATGAGAAATATGAATTATGAAATGAGAAATGACACGAAGTGAGAAATGAGAAATGTGAAATATGAAATCAGAGCTGGAAAATGAAAAATGAGAAATATGAGAAATAAGAAAGATACAATGAGGGGGAATGAAAAATGAGAAATGTGAAATGAGAACTGAGAAATGAATAATAAATGAAAAATGAGAAATATGAATTATGAAATGGGAAATGACACATTGTGAAAAATGAGAAATGTGAAATATGACACGAAGTGAAAATGAGATATGTTAAATGAGAAACGGGAAATGTGATGTGAGAACTGAGAAATGAATAATAAATGAAAAATGAGAAATATGAATTGTGAAATGAGAAATGACACTATGTGAGAAATGAGAAATGTGAAATATGACACGAACTGAAAGTGAGATATGTTAAATGATAAATGAGAAATGGGAAATGAATAATGAGAAAAAATGAAAAATGAGAAATGTGAAATATCGAATGAGTAGTGTGAAATATGAAATGAGAAATGAGAACTGGGAAATGAATAATAAATGAAAAATGAGAAATATGAAATGAGAAACATGAGAAACGAGAAAGATACAATGAGAAGGAATGAAAAATGAGAAATATGAATTATGAAATGAGAAATGACACGATGTGAGAAATGAGAAATGTGAAATATGACACGAAGTGAAAATGAGATATGTTAAATGAGAAATGAAAAATGGGAAATGTGAAATGAGAACTGAGAAATGAATAATAACTGAAAAATGAGAAATATGAGTTATCAAATGAGAAATGACACGTTGTGAAAAATGAGAGATGTGAAATATAACACGAAATGAAAATGAGATATGTTAAATGAGAAATGAGAAATGGGAAATAAATAATGAGAAAAAATGAAAAATGAGAAATGTAAATTATGAAATGAGAAATAACACGAAGTGAGAAATGAGAAATGAGAACTTTGAAATGAATAATAAATGAAAAATGAGAAATGTGAGAAATAAATAATGAATATAAATGAGAAAGATACAGTGAGAAGGAATGAAAAATGGAAATATGAATTATGAAATGAGAAATGACACGATGTGAGAAATGACAAATGTGAAATGAGAACTGAGAAATGAATAAAAAATGAAAAATGAGAAATATGAATTATGAAATGGGAAATGATACATTGTGAGAAATGAGAAATGTGAAATATGACACGAAGTGAAAATGAGATATGTTAATTGAGAAATGGGAAATGTGAAATGAGAACCGAGAAATGAATTATAAATGAAAAATAAGAAATATGAATTATGAAATGAGAAATGACGGTATGTGAGAAATGAGAAATATGAAATATGACACGAAGTGAAAATGAGATATGTTAAATGAAAAATGAGAAATGGGAAATAAATAATGAGAAAAAATGAAAAATGAGAAATGTAAATTATGAAATGAGAAATAACACGAAGTGAGAAATGATGAATGTGAAATATCAAATGAGTAATGTGAAATATGAAATGAGAAATGAATAATAAATGAAAAATGAGAAATATGAATTATGAAATGGGAAATGACACATTGTAAGAAATGAGAAATATGAAATATGACACGAAGTGAAAATGAGATATGTTAAATGAGAAATGAGAAATGGGAAATGAATAATGAGAAAAAATGAAAAATGAGAAATGTAAATTATGAAATGAGAAATGACACGAAGTGAGAAATGATAAATGTGAAATATCAAACGAGAAATGTGAAATGTGAAATGAGCACTGAGAAATGACAGGAAATGAAAATGAGATATGTTAAATGAAAAATGGTACGCCAGGTATCAAAAAATGACTAATTTTAAATGCATTTGACCATGTCTGCCATTTGGAAATTTTAAAATATATGTTTATTTTTGTTAAAAAATAACCATGGCAGACCATTATCACGCGTCTAACATCGTGGCAGACAATTTTGAAAGTGCCAAAAAATATAAAATTTTCAAACTAATTTTGACCAAGTCTGCCATTAATATATTTTGTTGATTGTAGTCTTAAAATATTATATTTATCACGGCAGACGTTTTTATTGAGTACCTATACACTTCAGCTGATAACAAAATCTTAACTACTACCCGAGCAGATATATAAAAATGACGCATTATATCTTACATTTATTTCATCTGCTTGAAATTAAATTTATTGTTGTTTTTAAAAATTGATATTTGATTGTATAATATCATTAACAGTTCGATAAGAATGACAGTTTCGAAAGTTCAAATGTATCAGTTGATTACCGACAAATGATACATACCAGTTCATCACTACACCAATGTTTAATAAAGAAATCAATGAGAGCTTCTTTAAATTTCGTATTTTTTATCTCTTTTGTAAAATCTGATGGTCGTACCTGGTCAGGAGCGAGGGAAGTACTGTCTAAACTCTTTAGACCAATTTTTATATATCTATATACGTACATATCCGAGAGAGAGAGAGAGAGAGAGAGAGAGAGAGAGAGAGAGAGAGAGAGATCAAGTATTTTAAATAAATAAAATAAAATCGTTTTCACAACTTGTTAATTGTCATTTGCCGTTAGTTGATGCATGTGAAAGAGCAACTCTCTCCCTCATGTATATATAAATAATAATAATAATTAGAGAGCGGATTTTATGAAATTTGCGTATCCGTTATTTTTTCCATATAAGTCTTGATATTTAATATGTGAACGAATCATGCTGATTAAAAAAGAATACAGCTATAAAAAAATTGCATATTTGCATATATTTGCCTTCTGTTGCATATTTCACGTAACAGGTGCATATTTTGCATTTTTATCAATTTTTTTGCTAATTTGAAAAAAAATTATTGTCATCTATCGGCATTTGTCTAGAATGACGAAATTTGATTAATGTTGCTATTGCAAATATTGTCCTGAGCTTCAAATAACTAGTAAAGGTTTGGGTTTTATGATAGTTTGGAGGTAAAATCGGTCCTTAATTACTCTTGGAAATACCGTTCATTCCCAATATTTTTGTTCGTTACTTAAGTATATTAATGGTATATTTTATGGTGGTCTAAGGGCCGTTATCCTATTATTTTTCATCGTAAGTTTGCATTGAAAGCATTTAAAGCGATCCAGGTCTGTCAAAATGTCGAAGATAACTCAAATTAATTTATGGATTAAACCTTTTCCTGAACTTATTCCTCAAGAAGGAACTGTGTTTTTTCGCGCCTGCTCTAAACTGCTAAGTATTTTTACATCTGTGGACGTAGTACGCAGTTTTTCTATTAACAAATAATACTTTAGAATCACCCGAAAAAATTTTTGTTAGTATATTTCGAACAATATTTAAAAATAAATTGTTACCAAAATAGTAATTAAATAGTCGATTACTACCATTTTTACTTCCCGAGCGTAAGCAAAGGAAGTATTGTAATCGAGTCCGTCGACCGACTCTCTACTTTTACGTTTTCTCGATCTGTCATGACCCCTAGAAGACGAAGAAATAGGTCTCCCATTTCCGTCTGTCTGTCCGTCTGTCTGCCGTCCCGGATTTTTATTAGACAGATAATCTCCGAGAGTACTGGACCGATTGTTGTGAAATTGTGTACTTATATTAGGAATAAATGTCTCTGGTCATTATGTCTGAGTCAATTTATTTTATTGATTAAATCAAGAGTTGCAAAACTGAATACTTGAAATCTTGCAGACGTTTTGAAATTATTGTAAGAATCTTAACTTTTTAATCAAAATGTATCTGTTTATCAACCCCAAAAAGTTGGTTACGTCACCTCAGAATTTTGCTGAATAAATTCTTTCAAAATGTGCAAAAGATGATCAGACTATACTTGTAATTTGTCATTGCATTCATTTTTTTTAGATCTGCTTATACAGGGTGACTCAAAAAAAATAATAAATCAGTCAAGTTATTATTGATCAAATTACGAACGAGCCGTGACTTCCAGTGTGAAAGCGAATTTATTGAAATATCTCATTACAGAACTCTAATGAGAAGAATCTATGACAGACATAAAGACTCGGTTCTAAAAGCGAGGGAAGTACTGTCTAAACTCTTTAGACCAATTTTTTTTACCAAGTAGTAAGTTGAACTTTCAATGAAATGGTAATTATGTGCATTAGTATATATTAGTATATATGGCTGCCATTTCGTCTTATGTTTAAAGGGAGTAGGGACTTTGCTATTCCCTCTCCCTCTCCAGTTATACTATTACAGCTCAATGTTACGTAACCGTATCTAACTCGGTCTAACCTTACCCATTTATGCTGGTTTCACGCAAAAATTTCCTTTTTGTTACTCCTGTTTTTAACGTCTGACGTTGACAACTGTTGGCGATCCTGCTTTTGGAAAATAAATAATCAGAATTAACAGCCAGAGTTGTGGAATATTTCAAACCATTATAAAAAAAACGCGTTGTTATGTAAATTTTCCATCACATGATCAAAACGACCATAATTAACCATAGTTGAATTTATCATTACCCCCAAAATGGATGAGATGGAAACTATCTTCCAACAAGTAAAATATAGTTTCGAAAAGTGTACATGTAACCTCCAAAGGGTAAACTTATTGCTCAACCAGAATATCCAGTGGGAAATGTACGAAGAGGCAGTGCTGACAAGCAACAAAAACGATTCAAATTCGACAGAAATACGAAAACGTGGCAACGTTCATTTCAAACAGAATAGGTATGTAGAAGCGCTTGCGAGCTATACCGCAGCCATAGCCTGGGCCAAAAGCAAAAGAATCACAGCCTTAGCTTATTCTGGTCGATCCGCAGTATTGGCAAAAGTTGGCTTGTATCAAGAAAGTTTAGTTGTGAGTACCTAGTAATTGTTCTGTTTTCACACTTCATCCAAATATTCTAGGACCTTGAAAGAGCGTTTTATAACGACTATTCGCAGGAATTTACCCACCAACTGGCACTTCGACGCTCACAAGTCATCAAAAAACAAAACTCCAACCGTAAAACGCAAGTACTTGCATACCCAAACTATCATGTACAGGCAACTGCATGTGATAATACTTCCTTCAAAATCCACACTGACAACAAGTTTGGTAGACACGTAACGACCACACGAGATATTGAAATCGGCGAAGTCGTACTCGTCGATAAACCGTACACTGCAGTACTGCTACAAGACAACTACATTTACTGCTCAGAATGTTTAAAAGTATGCTATAACTTAATATCGTGCGACGCATGTGCTAAAGCTCTCTACTGTAGCACATACTGCAAATTTGTAGCTAGTAAAACGCACAAATATGAATGTTGCCTGTCTGACGTACTTGATCGCCTAGAATCCATCAAAGACGGCCTCGCCTTGGACCTTAAAATAACTTTATTAGTATTAATCCAGTTCCGTCAGAACAAGTCACATGACCTTGCAGAAATTATAAAAATGGAGGCCCACACTAATTCGCTGTCATTGAGGATGCACTTTACTATTGCATGGGTTTCTAGTATAATTTATGTTCTACTGAAAAAACACACGGATTTGTTTAATGATTTGGAGGGCATGGAGGAGATGTTTAAGGGTTTGTTGCCCTTGATCATACAAGTTGTTCATATTAATGGGGTTGTAATAAATCGACTAGAGCCTACAGTGGAGGGATACGAAATGATTACTTACGCACGCGGATTATACTTTTTGTTCGGTGGATTTAATCATTCTTGTTACCCTAACGCTTTTTTCTATCAAGAAGGACCGAGACTTGTCGTGAGGGCACTGGGAACCATAAAAAAGGAAGAGCAATGTTGTATTTCTTATGGGTGAGTTCAGTTTTGTATGAGTAATTAAACTTACATGTTTTCTCGAATTTTCATGACCGCTAGAGTATGAAAAAGTGGTCTCCCGTTTTCATTTGTCTGTCTATCTGTCTGGGCCCATTTTTATTTGATCAATAATTTCCGAAAATCCTGAACAGATTGTTGAAAAATTTTGTATGTATATCAGAAATATCATGTAGACGTTAAATCGCTAATCAAAATTTGGCTAATCATTCCTATCAACAATTTGATGACATTATCTCAAAAAATTCTACTTCAAAATGATTTAATTGTTGTACAATAATATATTCACTCCTATACTTGTGATGTACGAATCCGCTTTGAGTTTTTCCCGTAAGGGTTTTACAAAATGGAGAATAGGTTCTACAAATTTTTACAAAAAAAAATTACAAGGTGTAGTAATCTCGTACGAGTAAAGTTAAATATCAAGTTTTGTGGCTGAGTGAGCTTCAGACGAGCAAGCGACCCTGCACTTATCTGTTCAATGCCAAACGTAGCCGTTTATTTTTTTCTCAATGTGTTGGGCTGTGACTAGTATTTTATTATCTCTATATTTCTATTACCCGAGCGTAAGCTGAGAAAGTATTGTAAACGAATCTATCGGGCGACTGACTACTTTCATATTTACGAGTACGAAAAAATAGGTTTCCCGTTTCCGTCTGTCTGTCCGTCTAACTGTCTGTCTATCTACCTGTCTATCTGTCCACCGTCTGTATCAATTTTTGTTAGACAGATAATCTCCGAAACTAGTGGACCGATTGTTCTCAAATTGTATATATGTATAATGTATATCACGTAGATGGTAAAAAGCTAACAAAACTTTTTGTAATCATCCTTATTGATAGTTTTATGACGATACCTCAGAGCAGATGCTGTAAAACTTTTAATTTATAACCTTCAGTTCGTCATTAAACAGTTACTTTACGAGATCGCCGATTAATGAAACATTTTGTTAAGACATGATCTACTAGCTGGGGGAATGAAAATGACATCTAATTTAAATGTGTAGTGTCCCGGTTCAATCTAAATTTAGCGCCAGAGAGAATGACAGTTTTGTAACGTAGATTTGCCTTCTTTGTGGAGTGGGCAGCTTTTGTTACTCACTCTAGATTCACATCAGAGACATTCAAGCACTGTTAGCGAAAGAGGCTGCAAGTCTACAATGTGTCGAAGTCACATGTGTTTGAAATTTGTATTCCATTTTATTTGTAAAATTTAACTAAAGGGCAAATCTGTTATAAATCAAAATCTTAGAATAAAATTTTACGGTATAGAAACCGAACTCATAGTTTTCCCTTAATTGACAGTTTAGTATGAAACCAAGGTCCCTTTATAGTGATTAGGTTAGGGTGTATCATGACCTTGAAGAGACATGTTGATGACGTAGAAAGTCCCTCCTACGCGGTTAATTTTAAATCTAGTCACTTTTTCCACGAGCGATTTTGTTGAAACTGGCATTGTGTTGACAAAACGTTTGTAGCCAGGACGTAACCACGGCTATACGAGTGGTGGCCCCCCTTCCCTCTGTAACAGGTCTGTCCACAAACTCGCTGTATGCACTAACCTAGTCACTATTAAGGAACCTTGGTATGAAACAGAATGTTTTAAGTGAATGCTCGTTAAAAGTAACAATATTATAATCATTGTTCGCTCACAGTAACTGTAATATTGTCCATGCTTGCGAAAAGTAACCGTAACACCAATATTCATTACATGTTGTATTCATTCCCACCAATTCGCAGGACATGTCTTAATCGTTTTGCTACTATATGTGTAAAGTGTATAATAATAATAATAATAATTTTATTCATACATTACATCCCAGACGGGATATTTGTACATGTCGGGAAAAGTATATTATATAATTAAATATAATGTAAAATTTATAAAATACGATAAATACAACGTGAATAAATACCAACAACATAAAAACAAAACATTTTACTACACAATAGATTTGTCTTCCAGAAATTCGTCGTAACTCTAGTAGGCACTGCTTATTAACAATTTTTTTATTGCTTTATTAAAATTCTTTGAGTTATATTTTTTAAGGTAATGTGGAATCTTATTATAAAACTTTATAATGAAATAATTAACCGCATTCTGGGACTTCCTTAGTCTTATTTCTTTCGGGCACAAATTGTTTTTATGTCTTGTGTTGTATTCATGAAAGTCACTATGGGCAGAAAATTCATTTTCATGTTTTTTATAGTAGTTTAGGCAAGTAAAAATGTACAAAGAAGGTAGCGTCATTATATTTAGCTTCCTAAATTGTTCTCGGCAATCTTCTCTGTACTTTGAGTTTGAAACAATTCGAATTGCTATTCTTTGCAATTGAAAGAGTCTATGACGTATACTAGTATGTCCCCATAATAATATTCCATATAGCAAGTGTGACTCACATAAAGGGAAGTAAATGTTGCGTAAATATTCTCTGGGTAAATTTTCTTTCAAATGTCGCAATAGGAAGATATTTTTGCTGACTTTCTTTGCAGTATTTTCTCCATGACTAACCCATGAGAGTTTAGAGTCCAAACTAAAGCCCAGAAAGTTAGTGTTCGATTGAAAGCTGCGAGGGATATCTACTTTCTTCAAAGTAAAAAAAAATCATCGTAGTTGATTTGTCAACATTCAGAACAAGATTGTTCGCTGTGAACCAATCAAAGGCTTCCGACTGCGCTTCAGCACTGACCGTTTCTGGTGCTACGTCCGATATTAATTTGTTCAACAATGTTGTATCGTCTGCGTATAATACTGAATCCGAGTTTATGTTAGTTGGAAGATCGTTCACAAAAATTAAAAATAGGAGAGGTCCTAAAATGGAACCTTGGGGTACTTCTTGATAAATCGGCAGATGTTCCGAAAATGTTTTGTTAAATTTAACTAACTGTTGACGATTCCCTAGATATGATTTTAGTAATTTGCAACTTTCTTCATCAATCTTATACGCAGATAATTTTTCCAGAAGGATGTTATGTGACACGCAATCGAAAGCCTTCGACAGATCAAGAAATGTCACGACTGCTGTTTCTTCTGTTTCGAAGCAGGATGTTATATACTTTTGTAACTTAAGAACAGCGTCTACCGTGGACAAGCTTTTTCGATATCCGAATTGCGTCACCTTAGAACTGGTTTGCCGCATATCCAGATCGCGTCCGAGGGATTTTCGCCTCTACTGTTTGGTGCAGATTTGCCGCATGTCGCACTTGGGCGAAGCGAAACATAGTTTAGATTCAGTGCTGATTTGCCCCATGTCCAAGCAGAAATCGATATAGTACCGTTATCCGTTTTTACGTACTTCCTTGCTGTTTTGCTTTTCAGCGTTAGGTTTGGGGTTGGGAAAGAAATCGTATTCAACTTCACGCGCAGAACAATAAGAATAATGTGAAATAAATAAAAAAGAGACTTAACAATTTTGATGAATCTGAAATTAAAAAAAAGCAACTGTAATTTGTGCAACTCTTTTTCTGTTGTTATAGATATTACAAATTTTAAGAAAGATTGAGTTTCAAATTATTAGATTCGAAATTTTACAAATTTAAATTTCAAATAGATTTGTTGCTCGTTAAACAAATAATTTAATTTTTTACTTAACAGTACAAGTACTACGGCAAGGACTAATAATGTGAAATAAATGAAAAATTGAAACGATATTAGAAATCGCGTGGTGAAGTAGTTAACTAAGTATAACGAACAATGAATGTTAAGTTATTGAAGTTTTGATTCGAGTTTTTCTAAATATTTTTAAAATAAAGAGACTTATTTTTCTTTATTTTTATATAAAATCTACATTTGATAAAACTCATTGCAGTCATTCATTTTACCTAAAAATTGTAGAATCCAAATATTGCATTGTTAATTTCCATTGTTAAATGGTGAATTGTGAACGAAATACGGAGTACCAAATTTAAATGTGTTTTACAGAAAGGAATTATTTTTACAAAGGATAATAAAATGATATTTTCTTTGCATTGGCGGAGTAATGGCGGCTCGTTGACTCGCTGCAGTCCTACGAAAATTGCAGCTTAATATGTAATTTTTTATATAAAATATTCAAACTGATAAAGAACACTCGGGTAAAAATAGGTTGTTGTCTCAAACAATTAGATTCCAGTATTTTATTACATTACGTGGATATTGACTACAAGTAGCTATTGTCGGGCAACCAGAGAAAATTAGCACTGATATCATTCGTTTCCATGTCTTATGTATCAGTGACAATTATGTTGACTGCAACCCAAATCTATTTGATTACCCCTAACTCCATAATATCTAGTACTTAATATAGTTATACGCTTTTCAGTTGAAAATGAAAGAATTATTTGTACTGGTAGTTGTAAACAATTGTATAAATATTTCCGTTGGATTCCTTTGCGAACTATTTGTCAATTATTATTTATGATACTATGGTATGATCCCAAACTGTTTAGAGAAGAAAGGGAGGCTGTGATGTGCGCACGTAAACTTGTCCTATTTCTTTCCAATACATTAGCTCTATATATTAGCTCTCTGTCTATCATCTCCTACGTGCGCTTATCATAGACTCTTATCTAAAAAGTATGCAGTATTTCCCGCGCAAACCAGCAGTCAGATCTCTAGATTGCCTGGCCTCGTGATTTGTCACGTATTTTTAAATAACATACAGTTTTCTAAATTTGCTGAAGTACTACTAAACTACAAAAATAAACGGGTAAATTATATTCTCAAATTATAACTCCGAATTAAACATGCAATGTGAAAAGTTAATGCCGTGAACCCTACTAAGTATAAATTAAACGTCATTGTTTGCTAACTACATAATTGATTAAACTTATTATTTTAATAAGGTAAGGTATTAAACTAGACAGAGACTTGAATACTTTTTTTACTAATTTTAATAATTCTTGTAATGAGTAGATATTTAATAATAAAGCAATACATATTATTATACGCAAAAAATGTATTTGCATGCTTTTGCATAAACTTCCTGCACTTATAATTTATGAACAGTATTTTGGACGATGCCCAATTAATTGATAAATAATAGTATGTTGATCTAAAAAGAGTATCATTACATTACTTCAAATTCTTTTAACTTTCTTTATGTAGTATGTAGTATCTCCTGTTTTAAAATCTGTAAAAATCTCAAGAAATTAGGGTTATGGTAATTCAATTAAATCTGGGTGCTTAGCAGTGGCGGCTCGTCAGGGGAGGCAGGGGAGGCAGTGCCTTCCCTGGAAAAATTGACTATTAGTTTTTGTTTTAATATCTGTCAACTTCAAATATATTTTAACGATATGGCAAATAATTTTTATTTATAGAACACTGTGATTTTTTAAAACGCGTCTTGGTAACATATTTTGAAGTGCGCGCTTTCGACAGGAATAAGCGCTGATCATCACCGTGTAGGCCAGCTTCAGACAGAGGCATGCCTCAGATAGACGGATGTCTTCAGTATAATTAGTCAGTGGTGATAATATGTTTTTGAGAAAGACAGTAGTCAACAGTGCTTTATCAAAGCGCCAGCGGAGGCACCAACGCCTACCGTCCTTAAACCAATCAGATCGAATTTTTTAATCTCACGGTGAAACTGCACAATGCTGAACAGGGATCCTGAATGCATTTAGTGTGCATTAATTAGACGCGAGAAAAGGTGTTCACTGCATCTGCATTGCCAAGGTTATGTATTAAAACTTTTAAGTTAACTTGAAAACATTAGGACAATGAAAATGTCAGTTTTGCAATGCTGATAGGAACATAAGAATCTCTAATTCTCTAACGACATTGTAGAATTTCTTATAAAGTTTAAATATTTAAGCACGGTTTTCTTACGACGAACAGTTGTATGTTAAAGTTTTAGGAATCTCTCATCCCAGATTTGAGCATAACTTTATTAATTAATTGATTAATAGGTATATTTAAATCAGCTCTAGATCATATGAATTAAAATTTATGCTAATAAAGCAAATTCTGTGGTTTTTGCACCTTTTCGTTGGTTTGTGGGAAGCAATTAAATATTTTTTATTCGAAAAGTGTAGAGACTCAGAGTTATTTGTATTCTTTTCATAAAAATGGATAAATAATCTGAGTTGAATACGATTTCTTTCCCAACCCCAAACCTAACGCTGAAAAGCAAAACAGCAAGGAAGTACGTAAAAACGGATAACGGTACTGTATCGATTTCTGCTTGGACATGGGGCAAATCAGCACTGAATCTAAACTATGTTTCGCTTCGCCCAAGTGCGACATGCGGCAAATCTGCACCAAACAGTAGAGGCGAAAATCCCTCGGACGCGATCTGGATATGCGGCAAACCAGTTCTAAGGTGACGATTGATTTCCCGTGAATAGATTTTTACTTTCGAAATAGCGGCTCAATTGAAGAAATAGTACCTTTTCTATTACCTTCGAAAAAATTGGCAGTAGTGCAATTGGGCGGAAATTACTTGGGTTATTCAAGTCACCTTTTTTATATATCGGAACTACAACCGCCATTTTTAAACAATCAGGAAAAATAGATTCCCAAATGCAGATATTTATTAACTTTGTTAGGGGGGAAATTAGTACGTTTTTAACTGTACTCAACAGGT